ACGTAGTCTCATAAACGGATAAACACCAGTGCAAGTAAACATTACATTATGCGTACAGCATGAAATGCACTTGTAAAATTGAAGTGGTGTGTGGGGCGTTGCAAGGGCACAATGGTTGCTGTGGGAGCAAAAGTTGCATTGTTCCTTCCCGAAATCTGAGGGAGACTTGCAGCGATGAACGAAGTGGCGTTGCTCGGTGCAGTGGCAACACGAAAGGTGAGCTGGAGGTGGTTGGCTGGAAAGCGGTGGATGTGTCGTCATTGGGCTACAGAAGTGGTAGATGTGTCGTCATTGGGCCACAAAATGGCGGATGTGTTATCATTGGGGCAGGATTTTTCGGAAGAGAAGAGAAATTGGTGATGCTTGGCTTACGTTTCCGGATGCGGGAACTGGCCCGGGGCCACCTGCGATTAACAACCGGGTTTGCTCTGGTCCTAAAGCGGACGGTAGGGGTCATGGGCGACATAACATGGGGCACGTTTGCGAAAGGTGTGTCTACAGTATTGGTGTCAAGCGCAGGGTGGGACTCGGGGGTAAACAGGTTTTTTCGGGACACTGCCGACAGCATCCAGCAATGGTGTGTCGGGGAGGGGTTTGCTGTACTTGTGCAGGAACAGGAAAGGTGGTGTGGTGGAAGTTTGGTGCGGGAGGTAGCTGAGTGGCTGTACACAGCGAGGCCTCAACAACGGCGAAGCGAGGGTTGCATCAAGGGTGCGGGAGACCGGCCGTTGGGCCATGTCATGCTCCAAACATGAAGCAAAGCGTGGAGAATAGCGAGCGGTTATGTGTACAGTTGAGTAGATACTGTACAGTATGCAGTCCGTAGAGCAGGCGGAGGTACAGTAGGGCGTGAATCTGTAAGCTTTGGAATGCCGTCCCGTGCTGTACACGTACAGGTACGGTAGAACACATGGATTGAGAATGCAGATTGGGGCATGGGGGTGAAGGTAGGCGGGGTGAGCGGGGAGGGAATTTGGGTGCAACAACACTGACACAAAGCTCTCACACGGGTAGCGCGTTAAACGGGGGCGGGTGTTGAGAGAATTTGGGTGCAGCTCCGATACTGTACCCTTGGGTACCGTATAAAGCTCTCACACCGGTAGCGCGTTAAACGGGGCGGTTGGACACGGGACGGGAGAGGAATGTATGACATAAACGCCCTTGTACAGCCGCTGCTGCTTGAGGTCGATCTGCATGCGGATGTAAAGTTTAGTGCAGTACCCTTGAAGGGGCCCTTGAAGGGTACCAAGGGTACCATCAAGGGTACCAAGGGTACCCTTCAAGGGTACGACCACCCCGCCTAGTCACATTGTGACTGGTCGCAAGTGGGCAGCGGGGGAGGGGGGGAGGGCTCGAATGCTGGAAATCGAATGCTGGAAATCAACGTGCGTGGCTGGCGCTGCGTTGCGGATGGCGTGTGTCGCGAGCGCGAGGTGACTGGCCAATCGTTCTGCGCCGCCTTATATCGGACCGAATACGTAACCCTCGCATGACATGAATTCAAATTCCCGTTCAAAAAATGTCCCGAATTTCACCACATTCGCCGCCCTGCTAACACCGCCCCCGCTAACACCGCCCCCTCTTGTCGAGCCCCCGCGCGTTGCGCATCGCATACCGCGTGCACCGCCACACCGCCACGTCGCCACCCACACCAACCCCGTGTCATCGTCGTCCGCCACCCCTCTCCTCCCGCCGAACTCTGCTGCCCCTCCCCCCCTCGTCCTCATACAACACCCCCACTGCTGTACGGTACAGCCCTATCCCGCCATGTCCCTGCATAACTTCCCCCCTTGTCAGCAGGCAAACCCCTTCTACTCCCACGCATTTCACTCCGAGTCCTTGCAAACCCCCAGGCCCAGCCCTCCTAAGACATGCTTACCCATTCCACACGCGGTTTTCCACCGCTCTGACCGTCTACCCTCTCCCCCGTCGCCTCCCAATTCACCCCCGCCATGGAGCGCTTCGCCCATCCCTTTCGCCTTCTCCCCGCTTGTCTCCTCGTCTTCTTGCTCCTCTTCGACCTGGCCTCCTCCCAATCGTGCCGCCTCGCACCTGACATTTCCCCTCCCGTCCCACTCGTCCTCACGCTCAGCAACGGCAAAGCGTCCCATTCGCTCACCTTCCGCCTCTGCGCCGCACCCAACTCCGATCTCAACTCCATCGACCTCAACTCACCCATCCTCACCTCCTCTAACCCAACACTGCGCCCCACCGTCATCATCGACCCCAACTCCGTCTCCATCGCTACATCCCCGTGCACCAATTTTGATGCCCAGTTCATTTTTCGCTCCGATTTGGGCACGGCAGATCTAACACTTGCAGTCTCTCCCGATTGCACCTTCACCTTCCCAGTCGTCATCGCGGGCGTCGCCGCCGTCGCCCTGCCAAGCCGCGCTCGCATCACCGCCCCAGACTCTGCCCCGCTTGTCCTTGCTCCGCCTCGCTATGAGCCTTCCAAGGCCTTTCTGTCTGTCACCGTTGTGCTGCCGAGCGGCGAGAGAGTCACGGGTGTCGACGCCGCCAACCTTGTTACAGTTGACGTCACTGAGGACCTACCAGATGTCGTTGTTCGCCTCGCGAGCGAGGGACGCCCTACTGCCCGTGGAAACTTGCTCATCCAAGCGAACACTGATCAGTCTGACGTCCCAAGACCGACGTTCCCGTTTGACCTTGTGCTCCGTGCCACCTCGACCAACGCATCCACTTCCGTCCCAGTGCGCGTCGCAGCCCTAGGGCCCGCCGTGGAGGCCATTGAACTACCCTCCCGTGCCATACCAAATGACAGGACGAGCCAAATCACCTTCACTGTGTCGCGCACCGGGGGTGACAAGCGCCGTCTTGTGCTTTTGCTCCAGCTCCCGTCAAACAGCTACCAACGCGTCGTTGCGAAAGAGGTCGAGTATAAAAGAGACGGAGATGCGTATTTGTCGACGATTGAGCTGCCTGTTCTAGAGACGTCCGTCGTGGGGGAGGTTCAGTGGTTGTATGAAGTAATTCAGGACGGGCGCGTGCTCACGGCGAATGATAGAACCGACGGGATTTTGCTCAAGTATGGCCGGAAGCCAGTTTTGAATTCTCTGTTTCCGCAAAGATTGGCGACGGGCAGTCGGGGATTCATGATGTTGCTTGGAGTTTTTTCGCATCCAGCGAAGCAGATTGTATTCAATGGGGAGCCGATTCCAAAGCGAGATGTGGTCAAAGATTCGGATGGGGAGATAGTTTTGCGGATACCGCCTACGTATACGAAGCGCAATGGGACTACGGTGTCTGTTGCTGTGCAAGACGGGAGCGGTTTGAGATCAGATGCTGTGTCTTTCGTCGTTGATTCTTCCGCATTAATGACAAACGCCGTACTCTTGCAGTCAGCTTATGACGACCGGAACGGACGATTTCTGGTTCCTTTCTTCTGCGGGAAAAGTAACGACCCCACTGTGTTGGCCACAGTAGATGCATATGGTGTCGAAGCCCAATTCCCGGAGTATAACTTTTCCATGCGCACTTCGTCAATGCCTTCTGACACCCGTGGTGATATTTTGTATTCTGGGAACAATGACATTGTCACATTTCCGGATGACAATCCTTTTGAAGACTCCGACGCCATGAACGATCAAATTGTGACGGTTTTCGTCGAAGTTGATCTCGGTGGCAGGCGCGGGGAGGCATTGCTACTGATTTCGCAGCGGCTGCGCAAGGACAAAGTGGGTATGACGGTGCTTCCGTTACCTATTACTGATTTCGACCCCAACTCCGAACAAATTCTCGAATCAAGATTGTCATTACCTGCCGACTGCCCCCGACTGAATGAACTGGATGTGACAACCCAATGGAGATTGAATGGAAACCCTGTACCGATGCCCAGCCAAAACGCCAGCCTGGCACCTCCCGCAAAAGGGCCTTCCGTTCTTGGACTAGGAAATAGGCTTCTTCTTCCAGGCATCGAAATGGTTCAATTCAACTTCTCTGTTAGTTTTACATCGAGAGGAAATGGGAAAGAGATTGCAAGTGGATCTTGGCAAGGAGATGTGCGAAGAACGCAAAATCGCAATCTGCTCCAGGTCATTTTGAACGATAGACTGGTAACGATGACAGTTCCAGCCGGGAAAGAGTTTAACATCAAAGGTACGGTCTTTGATGGTTTCGCGAATATCTCTAACAAGAACGGGCTTCGCTATACGTGGAACTGCGTTGAAAAGGCAGCAGACCAGGACCCGTGCCCAGAGGTCTTATTTCCGCTGGACCAGGATGATGTAGACACCGGATCCTTTACGGCTAATGCCCCGGGAGAATGGCAGGGGAAGACAGTCGAGTATTCTCTGTATGCCAGCTACGGAAATCGTAGGAGCAATGCAACCCGCCTTAATATTTCTTTTGTTGATTCCGATACAAATTCCATCCCCAGTGCAACACTCGGCACGGCCGCGAGAACGTCAGACTCCGCAAATTTTGATCAGGGATTCGCATTCCGACCGTATGATGCCATCATCTTGTCACTCGACGGAGAGATTAGCGACATCGACCTGGACTTCGCCCTGTACCATGAAAATAGTGATGTGGATCTACTGCGAGGAGAAAACGGAGCAGAGCTGATTGCTCACAATGGTTATTGGAGCCCTGAGGAGCGACGTGCAACGTTTCTGGGCGTTGCTGCTGGTTCTCTCATGCCCGATACGTACCGACTTGATATGGCACATGAAGGGGAAGACGTCAGCAGTTCTAGGGCAACATCGTCATGGGAGTTTACCATTGCTCCTTCTGAGAGTCTTATTCTGTCGGATCCGCCTGTAAGGGATGGTGTCGTAGATCAGACTTTATTCCATGCCTCTGCCATGTCTGTGCCAACGTCCGAAAATCAGTTCTTCTTCAGTCTGAAATCCGTGGAAGGAGGTGGTGAGCGGATGTCGGTTTCATCCATCACGGACCATTGCCTTGGGGGCTGCACCGGCCTTCCAGGGGAGTCTTTTACTGTGGGAAAGGCTGGCAAATTCGTCTTGGTCGTGGACATGTACGATCCGACTGGAACCGTACTGCTGGAGTCCAAGGATGAAGACGTTGAAATACATGTTCGTGACTCCATGACTACGTCAACATTGTCCTCTCCAGCAGACGCTGACGATGTGGCCGGCAGTATGGCCAGGAGTCTTACTCAGATGGACGAAGTAGCATTTCTAGGCTTTGTCGTTCAGTTGACGGCCTTGCCATCTGTTTCACCCGGAGACTTCGAAACTGCTGTGGATGGTCTCAAAAAAATATCGTCTTCGAGGATGCGTAATCCGTTTCAAGCCGTACGTGTGATAGACACTTGCGCCGGCATTGTTCAGCATGAAGATTTCTCAAGGCTCGACCTGCTCCGTTCTCTTGTACTAGTCGTTCAAAGCTGTGTGCGTCGAACGCAGCAGTCTTTGTCGAGTGGGAAGGAGATAAAGGATTCCTTGGCTCGGTTCTACGGCGCAGCGGCGGATACAATAGCAGCATCCTCGGGTTCCGATTCTCGCAATTTGCAGACTTCGGAAGGAGACGGTGACCCCATGGGCGACGTCAGGACGGCAGCTTCCCAAGATTTGTTTCTTGTGCTTGCTATGGGAGCAGAATGTGGTGCTGCTGCGCGGGTAGCTGTTCCTCGATTAAGCGCTGCCTCCAGCACTCAAAAAGAAAGTGATTCCAATAATTCACTTTTCGACGACTACAGGGTTGGTATAAACTGCTTTGGCGGTCAAGTCAGGTCCTTATCGCCAGATCCACCTCTTTTAGAGATCTGCCGTGGAGAGCCAGGGAGAAATACGGGAGTTAATGCAGGGGTGGAGATTTTTACCGCCGCCGAAAGACATGAAACATGCGATCGCGACCTGCCAACAGAAACATTGCAAGGACCAACGCTGTATGTCGAAACGCTCCAGTGGGGCGGCGATGGAACACAGGACCTGGGTTTGGTCAAATCGAACCCTAAGGGCGAGTGTTTCAGATCAACTGTCTCTGTGTTTGGCATGAAAGGGAATGAGGAGGACTCTCGCTTTAAAGACGGAAACAGGATTACATGTCGCAACGCCGGAAAGATTTTCGTCCATGAGGCCAAAGCAGGATCTGAGGCTGGGTTTGAAAACGCAACAACTACTGATGTGAGCGATTTCCAGCTTCACCCCACCGGTCGTATAAGTGCCTCAGCAGAGCACTCGCACCCTGCTGCAATTCGAATGGAGGTGAATGGTACTCTGCTACGGGCGTGTTTAGACCTCTCTACCCTTGAAGGCAGCCGTGGTTCAGGTCTGGCTGTCATGCTGGCATCTGTGTTGGGGGGTATTGTCGCTTTCTTTGTGGTGTTGGCTGTGATTGCCTTGTACTTAACGTCATGCTCCGATCGCTTCGAGACCTTCACGGTACCAACCAGTGCTGCCCAAATGAGCTCGCCTACGACCGACTCTACTTTTTACGTCTCTCGAGGTGATTCATCTACGTTACATTCTCGTGACGGGAGCGGGGTCCCCAATGAATGGGAAGCTGAATATGCGTCTCTTAGTGCCATCGCCGATCGAACTATTGATTCCGATCCCGAACGGGAACAGAATGGAACGGAACAAAATAGCTCTACGTCAAGAAAACGTGAGACACAGGAGTCAGACGGCTTCTTGTCGAGGGGAACATTCCAAGGTTTCGAACGCCCCTCGTTAACCGATACCCATGGTATTATCCCTTGGATGTCCAACAGCAGCTCGTCTTATGCGTATCGCAGTCGACAGATTGACTTTTTGGGGAGTACTTCGTCCTCAGAAGACGACTATGTTGTACCCGACACATACGGCCGGAGTGGGGAGCATTTCCCATGATGTAATTTTTTCCCGTTCTTCTGGCATTGGAGATTTCGGTGACTTCATTCGAAGATAGCTTCACCATGCATTGTATTATAGACTCTGCGGTATCTGCGACGATCTGCTTGCTCGTCGCTTAACAAATAACTTTTGGACTAGGCTTGTGTCAAAGACTTGTTGTACATACACTTATTCTTTATGCATACTAACCTAAAACTAGCAAAGGGCTGAAAATGCGAGATCCTTTTGTCTAATACTGAGGTCCTCATCTTGCTTGTCGAGATTTCCACCTTGCCTTCATCCTACTCCATTCATAACTGTTGTTGTCGTGCGCCAGCTCTGAGTTTCCCAGTAGAAACACCAGATTTTTCCTACACAAAGGTTCTGCCGAGCAGAACGGTAGGGGACCAGTATAACGTCGGGCCATTCTCAGAAAGTCAAAGCATTCGATATCCATTTGGGGGTACAGTATACTGTACTGTACAAATACCGTACTGTATTCCCTGAGGCCATTTCGGAAGATGGCCCGAGCGCAGGACGCATCCGTTCCTATCGATCTACGTGGATAACTGCGGTGAGCAGGCATGCCAAAATCTTCACATGACCTCCAACCGGCCCCTTCCGCGCCTCCCCCCACGCCGCACGCTGTGCAGAACCAGTCGACTATGCCGCCGCCGCCGCCGCGTCCTTCTCCATCCGTGCGTCCAGTGACATGCCCGTCACCCACTTAAACAGGTTCCTCACAGCAGTCACATGCTCTGGGTCATTCAAGCGGCCGTCGATGAAGTCCATGAGTGGAGAATTTGGGTCCTTGAACTTGCGAATGAAGAGGTTTGGGGAGTCCCGGATGTCGTCCTTGAACGTATACGAGCCATCCGGCTCCTTCTGATCGACCATGAACGGGTGCTGACCGGCGCTCTTCCCCTCATGTTTCCAGATGACGTGCCTTAGCGCCCTATGGGCCACGGTTCGGTTGTAGCGCGGATGGTTCCAAAGCAGTGTGGAAAAGTAGTGCTCGGAGGCCTCGACCGAGTAGGCAAATGAGAGCAGCATCTTCCTCGCGTAGCCATCGGTGACGACGAAGCGGCAAAAGTCGCGCGAGTTGATCATCCAGGCCTCAGCGCTGACGTACTGAAAGTTGAGCATGCTGGCGATGGGGTTGCGCTCGTAGACGTGGACGACGACGGTGGGCCCGGTGTTGAACGAGAGGGCCTCATCCACGTAGAAGTGCTGCATGCGGTGGTCAATGTTGACGTCCCAGCGCTCGCGGGCAGCGGGGGTGATGAAATTGAGCTCGTCGGGCACGTGGGGGCCCAGCAACGAGCGGGTGAGGGCCGGGGAGACCAGCGGGTAGTCGGAGCCCGACAGGTTGATGAAGTAGTGCCAGCGCGAGTTGCGCTCCAACAGGAATTTCATGGCGTTGATGGTGTTGAGGACCATGGACACGCCGCGGTACGTGATGAGCTCCGAGTCCATGACGTGGACATTGTCGCGAAAGTACGGGCTCTCCTCAAACAGGGAGGCCGTGAGGTTGGCGACGACGGTCTTGTCCATCTTCATATCAAAGTGAATAGCGTACACATTGCCCGGGTGGTGGATGCGACTAAGCAGGCGCGGCAGGTGGCCAGCGGTGGACTCTGCGACCTGGACGAAGTAGGCGACGTTGGCATCTGCAGGGGGCGTGTCCTGGCTCGCCTGGCGCACGGCGGAGCCTGTGCGCGGTGCGCGCGCGCGCGCCGCGCCCGGCGGCGGCGCAAGCGACAGGCGCACGCGCTCGGACCGGGGCGGGAGCAGGCGCGAGGAGCACAGGACGCAGAGCGTGAGCAGGGCGGTGAAGACGACGAGGGCGCAGTCGCGCAGCACGTGTGCGTGGCAGGCCAGGCGCTTGCGGCGCGGCTTGGCGAAGAA